GAACTTGCACAATTGATGGCTGACTAAATACTTTTTTCCCCCACTGTAAGTATTTGATCACCTACCAACCAGTAAGAATTCCGGGCTCTCACAGACCTGTTAGTTTTTCTTTAAGAAGCCCTCCTGTTCTCCACTCATTACCTGTATTAACTGCACCTGTTTGAACTCGTTACCTGTATAAAAGACACCTGTCCACACACTCAATCAAACAGACTCCAACCTCTCCACAATGGCCAAGACCAGAGAGCTGTGTAAGGACATCAGGGATAAAATTGTAGACCTGCACAAGGCTGGGATGGGCTACAGGACAATAGGCAAGCAGCTTGGTGAGAAGGCAACAACTGTTGGCACAATTATTAGAAAATGGAAGAAGTTCAAGATGACGGTCAATCACCCTCGGTCTGGGGCTCCATGCAAGATCTCACCTCGTGGGGCATCAATGATCATGAGGAAGGTGAGGGATCAGCCCAGAACTACACGGCAGACCTGGTCAATGACCTGAAGAGAGCTGGGACCACAGTCTCAAAGAAAACCATTAGTAACACACTACACCGTCATGGATTAAAATCCTGCAGCGCACGCAAGGTCCCCCTGCTCAAGCCAGCGCATGTCCAGGCCCGTCTGAAGTTTGCCAATGACCATCTGGATGATCCAGAGGAGGAATGGGAGAAGGTCATGTGGTCTGATGAGACAAAAATAGAGCTTTTTGGTCTAAACTCCACTCGCCGTGTTTGGAGGAAGAAGAAGGATGAGTACAACCCCAAGAACACCATCCCAACCGTGAAGCATGGAGGTGGAAACATCATTCTTTGGGGATGCTTTTCTGCAAAGGGGACAGGATGACTGCACCGTATTGAGGGGAGGATGGATGGGGCCATGTATCACGAGATCTTGGCCAACAACCTCCTTCCCTCAGTAAGAGCATTGAAGATGGGTCGTGGCTGGGTCTTCCAGCATGACAACGACCCGAAACACACAGCCAGGGCAACTAAGGAGGGTTCCGTAAGAAGCATCTCAAGGTCCTGGAGTGGCCTAGCCAGTCTCCAGACCTGAACCCAATAGAAAATCTTTGGAGGGAGATGAAAGTCCGTATTGCCCAGCGATAGCCCCGAAACCTGAAGGATTTGGAGAAGGTCTGTATGGAGGAGTGGGCCAAAATCCCTGCTGCAGTGTGTGCAAACCTGGTCAAGACCTACAGGAAAGGTATGATCTCTGTAATTGCAAACAAAGGTTTCTGTACCAAATATTAAGTTCTGCTTTTCTGATGTATCAAATACTTATGTCATGCAATAAAATGCAAATTAATTACTTAAAAATCATACAATGTGATTTTCTGGATTTTTGTTTTAGATTCTGTCTCTCACAGTTGAAGTGTACCTATGATAAGAATTACAGACCTCTACATGCTTTGTAAGTAGAAAAACCTGCAAAATCAGCAGTGTATCAAATACTTGTTCTCCCCACTGTATATATTTTCTGTTGTATTTTTGACTTTATGTTTTGTTTTACCCCATATGTAACTCTGTGTTGTTGTTTTTATTGCACTGCTTTGCTTTATCTTGGCCAGGTCGCAGTTGTAAATGAGAACTTGTTCTCAACTGGCTTACCTGGTTAAATAAAGGTTAAATAAAAAATTAAATAAAAAACGTATGTAAATGAGATATTTCTGCATTTCATTTTCAATAAATTTGCAAAAAGTTCTAAAAACATGTTTTCGCTATGGGGTATTGTGTGTGGATGGGTGAGAAAAAAATACATTTAATCCATTTTTAATTCAGGCTGTAACACAAAATGTGGAATAAGTCAAGGTGTATGAATACTTTCTGAAGGCACTGTACGTGCTATACTAATTCCTAGCATCTATTAGGCCTAAATTGTACAGAAATTGTAAGCTTCAAAACAGAAAACATCTACCTAATAAAATAATATATCAACATACAATTGTTTGAAATAATTTATTGCATTGTGCAAGGTTTGCTTAAACAGCCTTAACATTGTTGTTCATATTTATTAGACAATGTAATGACTTAGTAGATATCAAGTCATTGACACATTCTTATAATAACAGTTGCCTAATCATTTAGAATATATACAATGTTGTAATTAATCAGTTATCACACACACCAAGATGACACTACTATTTATCACACGCACTAAGATAACACTATTATTTATCACACACACCAAGTAAACACTATCAGTTAAAGTAGCTTATACAGTGAGGGAAAAAAGTATTTGATCCCCTGCTGATTTTGTACGTTTGCCCACTGACAAAGACATGATCAGTCTATAATTTTAATGGTAGATTTATTTGAACAGTGAGAGACAGCATAACAACAAAAAAATCCAGAAAAACACATGACAAAAATGTTATAAATTGATTTGCATTTTAAGGAGGGAAATAAGTATTTGACCCCTCTGCAAAACATGACTTCGTACTTGGTGGCAAAACCCTTGTTGGCAATCACAGAGGTCAGACGTTCTTGTTGTTGGCCACCAGGTTTGCACACATCTCAGGAGGGACTTTGTCCCACTCCTCTTCGCAGATCTTCTCCAAGTCATTAAGGTTTTGAGCCTGACGTTTGGCAACTCAAACCTTCAGCTCCCTCCACAGACTTTCTATGGGATGAAGGTCTGGAGACTGGCTAGGCCACTCCAGGACCTTAATGTGCTTGTTCTTGAGCCACTCCTTTGTTGCCTTGGCCGTGTGTTTTGGATCATTGTCATGCTGGAATACCCATCCACGACCCATTTTCAATGCCCTGGCTGAGGGAAGGAGGTTCTCACCCAAGATTTGACGGTACATGGACCCGTCCATCGTCCCTTTGATGCGGTGAAATTGGCCTGTCCCCTTAGCAGAAAAACACCCCCAAAGCATAATGTTTCCACCTCCATGTTTGACAGTGGGGATGGTGTTCTTGGGGTCATAGGCAGCATTCCTCCTCCTCCAAACACAGCGAGTTGAGTTGATGCCAAAGAGCTCCATTTTGGTCTCATCTGACCGCAACACTTTGACACAGTTCTCTTCTGAATCATTCAGATGTTCATTGGCAAACTTCAGACGGGCCTATATATGTGCTTTATTGAGCAGGGGGACCTTGCGGGCGCTGCAGGATTTCAGTCCTTCACGGCGTAGTGTGTTACCAATTGTTTTCTTGGTGACTATGGTCCCAGCTGCCTTGAGATCATTGACAAGATCCTCCCGTGTAGTTCTGGGCTGATTCCTCACCGTTCTCATGATCATTGCAACTCCACGAGGTGAGATCTTGCATGGCGCCCCAGGCCGAGGGAGATTTACAGTTATTTTGTGTTTCTTCCATTTGCGAATAATTGAACCAACTGTTGTCACCTTCTCACCAAGCTGCTTGGCGATGGTCTTGTAGCCCATTCCAGCCTTGTGTAGGTCTACAATCTTGTCCCTGACATCCTTGGAGAGCTCTTTGGTCTTGGCCATGATGGAGTTTGGAATCTGATTGATTGATCGCTTCTGTGAACAGGTGTCTTTTATACAGGTAACAAACTGAGATTAGGAGCACTCCCTTTAAGAGTGTGCTCCTAATCTCAGCTCGTTACCTGTATAAAAGACACCTGGGAGCCAGAAATCTTTCTGATTGAGAGGGGGTCAAATACTATTTCCCTCATTAAAATGCAAATCAATTTATAACATTTTTGACATGCGTTTTTTCTGGATTTTTTTGTTGTTATTCTGTCTCTCACTGTTCAAATAAACCTACCATCAAAATTATAGACTGATCATTTCTTTGTCAGTGGGCAAGCGTACAAAATCAGCAGGGGATCAAATACTTTTTTCCCTCACTGTAGATACAGTACATAGGCTATATAAAGAGTATTGGTTTCATGTTGTATGTACTGCAGAGACCCAATCTGCTCACCTTCATAAGAAAAACATTGTTGCCATCATACATTCAGTAAAATAGTGTCATGATTTTAGATACAGTACAAAACATCAGAGATAATTCACTCAAAATAGTACTTAACATGATAGATGTCTACATTACATTTAAGTCACTTTATTGGGCTATAATCCACTTTGGACGTTTTTATGAATTGGTGAATCATCTACACCTACAGCCATGGTAAGTGGGAAATGATATTAATTCATATTTTGCAGTGAACTATCCCTGTAATGTTCAGAAAACAAATCTGAAACTACATGCAAACTAAAAACTCTGCCCAAAATCTAGCTGGAGTGTCAATGTCTGGAGCTCTTAGACCTTTGAATTGACGCTTCCTACATCATCTTGTTTGCCCGCTGTAATGGTCAGCCAAATGCCTTCCCCCCACCTCAGTGTTCTGGTGCAATATGGCTGCCCCCCCCAGGTCAGTGCTACACATTGGGAGTAGTGGAAAGAGTGAGTTACCCCCATAAAGCGTAAAGCACTGCGTTTTGAGAAAGGTGCTATATAAACGCGAATCGTTATCATCAATCAGCGACACTGAGCCAGGTGAACGGAGAGGTGGTGGGTGCGAGCGAAGGTCCGGCGGCAGCGGGGGCAGGAGTATGGTCTCTCCCCAGTGTGGGTCCTCATGTGAGTTTTAAGGTGGCCGACCAAGCGGAAGCTCTTGTCACACTGCTTGCAGGGAAAGGGCCGTGAGCCATTGTGGATCCTCATGTGTTTGCCCAGATCCCCTGAAGAGGTATAGCATCCGTGGCAGACAGAACATTCATACGGCTTCTCTCCAGTGTGGGTGCGTATATGTTTTGTGAGATCTCCAGACTGAGCAAAGCTCTTGCTGCACTCCGAACAGACGTATGGTCTCTCACCTGTGTGAGTGCGTTGGTGGTTCTTCAGGTGTTCCAGTCGAATGAACTGCTTGCTGCACACTGTGCAGTGGTAAGGCCTCTCACCGGTGTGTGAGCGCATGTGTGTCTTCAACGCTCCAATGTCTATGACCTTCAGGCCGCACTCCCCACACTGGTGGCCTTTCTCATTGTTGTGGATCTTTAGGTGAAGCCTCAGGTTTCTCTTGATAGAGAAGTCTTTACCACACACTGTGCAGTGAAAGGGTTTCTCCCCTGTGTGAGAGCGTAGGTGAATGGTCAGACTAGACTTGTATCCAAACTGCCGGTCACATTGGGAGCAGGAGTACTGCTTTTTGCCAGAGTGAGTTGTCATGTGACTCCTGAGACCCTTCATACGGGCAAAATCCTTCCCACATTCCTGGCATTTGAACGCCTTCACTCCCGAGTGTATCAGCAGGTGTTTGCGTAAACTGCCGCTCTCTGCAAATCTTTTGCCACACTCTTTGCAGGCATAAGGCTTCTCTCCGGTGTGAATTCGCATGTGAATGTTCAGGCTCTGAGGACTACAGAGGATCTTGCCACACTCTGAGCAATGGAAGCCGACTTCCAGACAGACCACAGGCTTAATGTCCTGAGGTTCAGTGCCCTCTTGTTCGTGACACTGGTGAGGTCCCAGTCCCCAACAATTCTTGAAGCTCTTCCCACAATCGGCACAACTGAGGTGTCCATTGGTGCTAACAACAGCCATTTTGTGTGAAAGCTCGCAATGGTTTTGCAGACTGCCCAGGTACCTGAATCTGCGGGCACACTGTGGGCAGGTGTAGAGTTTCCTCGAAACCCTGTGGGGACGGACAGGTTTCCGGGGAACGGCTGAAGGGTGGATCTGGCGAGTGTGGATGCTAAGCAGCCGTGGGGTTTGGAACATGAGGCTACAGTGGAGGCAGCTGTGTGTTGGTAGCGTCTCTGTTCCACTGCTCTTTGAAAAACTGTTTCTCAACATGGCCAGATACTCCTTCTGGTGGTTCCACTTGATGTGCTTCTCCAGGAAGGAATGGTCGGTGAAGGAGATGGTGCAGTATGGGCAAGGAAAGAACTGAGGAGAAGAGACTGAGGTAGAGGGAAAGAGAGTGGTGGAAGAAGGGGTAGAAAAATAAAATGGGAGAATAACAGATGGTTATAATAAGAGGAGTTGTTATTGACTTGACTCCTTTTATTGTTATTATTGCTATTGACTGATGTACTGCATAGTTGAGGGAGCTAGCACGTAAGCATTTCACTGCACCTTTTATACCTGCTGTAAACTGTGTATGTGACGAATACAACATAATTGCAATAGTAAAGGAGAGTAGTCCTATATACTCATGATGAATCTTCAATTCAAAGTCAATATCAAATAGCCATTTAGCCTAGTCTGTCAATATCAAATATTCATGCAAACTTTTAAGATGACACTGATTTTAAGGGTGGGTATGTATGCATACCTCTGTTGCGGTCTGTATCCCTCCTGTCTTCGGTGTCCTCATCTGTGTCCTCATCTGGGTTTTCTTCACCCACATTCTCCTCCTTCATGAAACACACTTGAGTTTCTCTCTTAACCACCACCTTATGTATTTCAGAATCAGAATCATACTCTGTTTTTATCTCTACTGTTCCTTGGCTAATGTAAACGGAATCGGTTTCAGTCTTGGTTATGACGGTTCCAGAATCCTTGTGGAGTGCTCTAGAATCGAAGCGATGACTCTGCACTTCAAAGTCTGTTGGTTCCTCTTTGATTTGGATGGAGTTGGAAGTAACCCCTTTAGTGTTGTGAGAGGGAGCTTGGCTAATGTCTGGTTCTTCTCTTTTGCAGTTAACATCATCTGACTGTGTTCCACACTCTGTTTTGATGGGGTCTCGATGGTGTTTAGTCCTCTTGGTTTTGTTGTGTTGCTTTTTCACAGATTTGTTCTTCATCTTGTTGACTAGAGTGTCTCTGGTTAAGTCAACACCTTCCCATTCCTTTACATTCTGTGGAGAAAAGACCAGGTTTGATTGAACATGACGCTTACAGAGAGCTATCAGGGATCATAATAACCCATCCAAAGTAAGAAACACCAATTCTGCATTAGCCAACAGTCTATGCTGAAGTCTGGTTTAGTAACACTCTCAATAGCCTACTACTTCTTAGCCGTTCATTACCATCATTACCACGGTCAAATGGACATCCTGCTAGCATGCAGAGTAAATATTTTGGTTACAATCTACCTAGCTAGATTTTTACGTCGTCGTTCGTATATAAGCTTGCATAGTCGTAGCAAGATAGCTAAACGTGTCTGTTAGCTAACGTTACCTTGCTACTTTGTATGATTGTCACCCACCAAATGTAGATATCTTGATTATGAAGACAACCACGAGAGGAAAATGCTCACGGATGAAAAATGTTTTTTTTAAAGCAAGCTAGCAAAGTTTTGAAAATAGCTTCGCTTAGCTAGCTACCTTATTTCAGATTGTTGTCACCGGAAACAGAAACGGAAGAGGAAGCGAGACCTCCCACTCCCTAATTTTTCTGGTTCATATATGTCAATGAACTAAGCAGACCTGACCCAGCTGCATTGGAGAGCCACAACGGTAAGCAGACCGGAACTGTCCATTTTATTTCAATGATCAACGGCCTGAGTGGGACATCTTAATTTATCCACCATCTTTGACCAGAAAGACGCTGCATTTCCGGGATTGTTTATGTAATGAAACCTGACCAATCAGGCAAAGGTCCCTGGATCATGTGCAAAGATTTAGCGCCTGTTGACCGATTGATCGATTCTTAAAGAAATATTAATTCTCGCTAAAGAAGTATCAGCCATAGAGAATGATAGAGGCCTCTAGTGGCCAAAAGGTCGTATTAGCATGGGCAGCACGATGGAGGGATTCCACCATTTTAATGTAGCCAACTGGGTGGGACTTAGAACTTCATTGGCGGATCCCTCCTGGAGACCCTGTTGGGAGTCAGGTCCAACCAGGCCATCAGGAGGGATCAGCCAATTGTGAAGAAGAAAATTGACTACTTCAAAATGGAGATTGCCTCAATGCCGCTGCCCATGCTGTCACAGACACTATAAGCAGTAGGAGAAGATGGAACGAGATGGATTTTGGCCGACATTCTGCAAATGTTCTAATCGATGAAACATTTAATCTCCATACAGTTTTCTGTTTCCAAAACTAGAATATGTAACAGAGTGGACTGCATTTTGTAGACATTACCCTTTGCCAAAATTCAAAAAAATTGCGTTGTTTAGAAGGAGTGCAAAGGCGAATTGAGTTATTACACACACACACACTTCACAGAGTAGGTGTTCCCTAATGGCAATATGCAAATAAATGCTAGAACGTGCCAATAGGATCTCACTAGCTAGTGCTTGTTCTGCCCACTATGATTAATTTGCTCCCATTGGAAACGACAGGCTCTGGTCTATCTTGGGTTAGTTATAAAAAAAAATCTTTGCTATAATGGCACAGATACAAAGATGTCTTATATCTATCTCTATGTTATCAGCACAGAAAGGGAAAAGTCAAAAGTACACTACATGACCAAAAGTATGTGGACACCTGCTCCTCGAACATTTAATTCCAAAATCATGGGCATTAATATGGAGTTGGTTCCCCCTTTGCTGCTATAACAGCCTCCACTCTTCTGGGAAGGCATTCCACTAGATGTTGGAACATTGCTGCGGGGACTTGCTTCCATTCAGCCACAAGAGCATTAGTGAGGTCGGGCACAGGTGTTGGGCGATTAGGACTGGCTCGCAGTCTGCGTTCCAATTCATCCCAAAGGTGTTCGATGGGGTTGAGGTCAGGGCTCTGTGCAGGCAAATCAAGTTCTTCCACACCAATCTCAACAAATAATTTCTGTATGGATCTCGCTTTGTGCACGGGGGCATTGTCATGCTGAAACAGGAAAGGGCCTTCCCCAAACTGTTGCCACAAAGTTGGAAGCACAGAATCGTCTAGAATGTCATTGTATGCTGTAGCGTTAAGCTTTCCCTTCACTGGAACTAAGGGGCCTAGCCCGAACCAGGAAAAACAGCCCCAGACCATTATTCCTCCTCCACCAAACTTTACAGTTGGCACTATGCATTCGGGCAGGTAGCGTTCTTCTGGCATCAGCCAAACCCAGATTCATCCGTCAGACTGCCAGATGGTGAAGCGTGATTCGTCACTCCAGAGAACGCGTTTCCACTGCTCCAGAGTCCAATGGCAGCAAGCTTTACCCCACTCCAGCTGACGCTTGGCATTAGTGATCTTAGGCTTGTGTGCGGCTGCTCGGCCATTGAAACCCATTTCATGAAGCTCCCGACGAACAGTTATTGTGCTGACGTTGCTTCCAGAGGCAGTTTGGAACTCGGTAGTGAGTGTTGCAACCGAGGACAGACGATTTTACGCACTACACTCTTCAGCACTCGGCGGTCCCGTTCTGTGAGCTTGTGTGGCCTACCACTTTTGCGACTGAGCTGTTGTTGCTCCTAGACGTTTCCACTTCACAATAACAGCAGTTACAGTTGACTGGGGCAGCTCTAGCAGGGCAGAAATTTGACGAACTGACTTGTTGGAAAGGTGGCATCCTATGACGGTGCCACGTTGAAATAATAATAATAATAATAGGTTATTTAGCAGACGCTCTTATCCAGAGCGACTTACAGGAGCAATTAGGGTTAAGTGCCTTGCTCAAGGGCACATCGACAGATTTTTCACCTAGTCGGCTTGGGGATTAGAACCAGCGACCTTTCGGTTACTGGCACAACGCTCTTAACCTGGCACAACGCCCTAGAAAGTCACTGAGCTCTTCAGTACGGGCCATTCTACTGCCAATGTTTATTTATGGAGATTGCATGGCTGTGTGCTCGATTTTTTATACACCTGTCAGCAACGGGTGTGATTGAAATAGCCGAATCCACTAATTTTGGCCATGTAGTGTATCCTTGGTATCAGTTTTGTAGCAGTTGCGCCCTTCTCATTTTATAGCTATATCAAAGCAGTACTTACTGTAATATTGTTGTCAAAGATTAAATGTGTCCATTGGATTAGCAAGATGATGGTTATTGTAGCCAATATCTAAACTACAGCGGAGGCTGGTGGGAGGAGCTATGGGAGGACGGGCTCATTGGAATGGCTAGAATGGAGAAAATCAGCATAGAGCATAGAAACCCTACCCTACTTGGTATAGAGTCCATCACTGTCAAGATGTGGGAATGACAACGTAGCCTACATGCTTGGCCCAATCATCTTCAATAGAATGAATGTGTATGATTATTAGCAAGTGAGACATGGTGCAATATCAAAACCAGTGCAGGCCATTGATGGGTGTATGGATTGACACAAATCAGCTATGACAGGATGTTCTACAGCTGTTGAAGTGATTACTGTATTATTCATTTTAATGTCATGTCTAATGTGCAATTACCAAACAACAACAACAAACGTGTCTTCTTTCACATACTTTATTAACAGTAATCATTGTCACTTTTGTTATTACCAGGCAGTAAATCGGGCATATAAAACCATCATCTGTGCATCACTTTTCCCTTGTTAATCAACTACAAAATTTTTATAACTGCCTTAATTTAGCTGGACCCCAGGAAGAGTAGCTGCTGCCAAGGCAGCAGCTAATGGGGATCCATAATAACTACAAAATACAACACTAAATCAAGAATTGGCATGCTCAACTCAACAGTTCAAACAAGTCTTTGGGTGCAGGCTCCAAAAGGCATATAAACTGGGAAAGGAAAACTGGCATTCACCAAAATACTCTAAGTTGTACTGTTCTTTTGCAGCAGCAGCAGATGTCAAACAAACTGACAACTTTCGATGACACGGATAGCTTTAGTCAACGCTGGATGAGAAGGGTTGAGGTTTCCAGAGGAAGAATGAGAGGTTGTGGACATGTGCACATGCTTACAAACAGGAGCTACACGCTGCTTTTAAGACATCACTGGCATCATGGGACCTTATACTCCCTCTCAGTAGTTCTGGGAGTTTCCACCATCCAGTCTCAATCACTGTTGGAAAAAAATCAATTCAAAACACAGTTAGGCCTAAAAAATACTATTTACATAAATATACAATCTATTACACATATAGATGCAATTAAAAAACAGCACAATTTGAACATGTTATAAATATTAAAAAATGTTAGAATTCATATATGTTACCTTGAATATAAAGTCCATTCTTCTCATAGTCTGGTTGGCAAACTGGTCAATGACCCTCTCATACCAGTGAGGATTCTTCTGCAGTGATTTAAGAATTCTCCTTTCTATGGATAGGATTGCCAGGTTCCTGAGTCGCTCTTGTCCCATGGTGTTCCTAGTGTAGCTTTTCAGCCTCTTCAGACGAGAGAATCTGCTCTCCACGCCCGCTGACGTTGCCCCTATAGTTGCAACTAGGCACATGAGCCGGTACAGCTCAGGCATCACTTCATTCAATCCACACCCCTTGAAATGCAAGATTCTGTCACACAGTTTTCGACTGTTCCCTTGAAGCTCCTCACCACAGTAGAACACTTGCAGCTCATTTTTCAGTTTTTCCATGTTGAAAAAACGCCCATAGCTCTGGGACAGGCTTTCCATTGCATTTGTAGGGAATTCTCTCCGGAATGACTCAAATTTCTCATCATCTAACAACTCCATGTATCTCCTGCTGTCCAGGCTTTGGAACCTCTGTGCTATTTGCGTCTTGATGTTGTCATGGATTGAATCGTACAGTGATTTGTAAGTCTGCATTACATCCTGAGTGCCCTGCCTCCGCTTCCTTCTGTGCATCAACTCTGGATCATCTGTCATGTTCGAAGCCTTCTGACATAAAGCACTAAATGATTCTTCAGATTTGTGCTCCTCTATCTTGAGTAGAAGATTCTCAATCCTCCTCTTACAAAATTCTACATCCATGGCATTCTGTTGCACACTGTCAAAAACCACATCTGTGTAAGCAAATATATATTCAAAAGTGAGAAGCAAAAAAATAAAATGAAAATCTTCCAGCTGTGTCTTGAACCCATTTGCATCAAATATCGTCTCATCATCCATGTTAGGATGCTCTGTGATACTTGTGAATGTGTCCAACAGATGCTCAAAGTTCTTTGCCACGGTGTTAACGACTCTGGATGTGAAATTCCAATACGTTGGTGCGTTTTTTGGCAAACTCGCACAAGCGGCCTTTTCTAGAAGCATCTCTCGATTGGTGGACTTACAAAAAAAAGTTGAGAAGCCACCCAGTGTGGCAAAGAAAACCTTGGTCTTGGGCATAGACTTCACGCTCTGGCTTAATATGGAGTTGAGGGGATGTGCATAGCAATGCACAAAGGTGGCGCTCGGAGCTACAGCTCTTACTTTTGCTTGCAGACCATTTAAATCAGAAGCCATTACAGCCGCGCCATCATATGTTTGAGCGACTAGTTTCTCCACAAAGTTAAACTCTGACATCTCCGAATTCACTAGATCAAACACAGACTGTGCATCTCGCCCAGCTGACACGTCAAAGTATCCCAAGAAACGCTCCTGTACACACCCCCGATCATCCACATACCTGACAATGACAGACAATTGCGAGTGGTCTGTGGTTTCATCCATTTGCCATGAGAAAAATGGAGCAGCGTCAACCTCGCTTTTAATCTCACTTTTAATTGATGATGCGATAGCAGTTATCAAGTCGTTCTGAATTGTTCTTGACATTCCAGTGAACACAGTTGAAGATTCCATATGCTGAGCGAGTAAAGCATCATACCGTGCGATTACCTCTGCCAATTCCCTGTAGTTGCCTTTGTTAGCGGAACTTTCTGTCTCATCGTGCCCCCTAAAAGCCAACTCTTGCATGCCTAAGTATGCAATGCTGTCAATGAGGCGTTTGAGAACATCCCTGTTTCTTCTGACCTTCTCGTTGTGTTGCGCAGCTTGAATACGCAGGCCTTCATTGAGTGAATGATTGGCACGATGACTCGGTTGTCCCAAAAGCTTGAGTTTCGCGTAGGAGTTGAGATGCTCCCGGCTTTCGTCATGCCGTTTAGCTGAACGGTCAATGTTCTTCAGGTCACTGAACCCCCCTTTAGCCCAAGGCTCAAACGTTCCAAAGAGCAGACAAGGCCAGCAATACAAGCGGCTTGATGAAAGACTCCCGGTTAGCCATTGATACTTTTTATACCAGTTGGTATTGAACGCCCTCCTTACTTTGTCATCCTTCCTTATGTACTTGATTTCAGGCAGAGGTCGACCCTCGGTTTTAATTCGCACCCTTTCTGTGGACTCCAAAGAATGAAACGGGGTCTTCAACAAAAAATCCACAATGTTGTCAGAATTCACGACCTGGCAGGTGTGGACAAGTAGCTGCTGTGGTGTGTGGAACATGCAGCTGCAGTGGGGGCAGCTGTGTGAGGGGGCATAAACTAGAGTTTCTGTCTTAACCACTCTGATTCCAGAATCATGCTCAGTCTTAAATTTCTGCCGTTCCTTGGCTAATGTAAACAGAACCTGTTTCAGTCTTGGTTTTGATGGTTCCAGAATCCTGGTGGAGTGCTCTAGAATCTAAGTGATCATTTGATCTGATTCCGTTATGTTCCTCACTTGTTTCATGCACTTCAAAGTCTGTTGCCTCCTCTTTGATTTGGATGATGTTGAAAGTAAGCCCATTACTGCTGAGAGAGGGGGCTTGGCTAATGTCTGAATCTTCTCTATTGGAGTCAACATCATCTGACTGTGTTTCACAATCTGTTTTGATGGGGTCTCGATGACTTCTAGTCATCTTGGTTTTATTGCGTTGCTTTTTCCCAGGTTTGATCTTAATCTTGTCGATTGGTTAATGTCTACACCTTCCTCTTCATTTGCATTCTGTGAAAAAAAGACTAGATTTGAATGAACATCAACCTTGCAGAGACACCAGGTCAGGAATCATTATGACAATCATCCCATCCAACACCACAAAGTAAAACAAATAGGCTGGTACAGGCTGGTTAAAACATGCAAAGGAGAGCATTTGGTTACAACATGCATTTTTACATAGCTTATCGATGGGTGAGTAAATAGCTAGCAAGCGAGCTAGCTAAGTTGCATAGCTAGCAAGACAGTAGCCCAATATTGGACTAAAGGTGCCTAACTTTACTCCTTAGTCCAAGGACCTTACATGTTATTTAAAAGGGCGAATTGGCTCTGGAAGCCAAAACAACCAAATACTCCATCTAAATGTGAATCGATTCTCAATTGCTGTACGGTTCTAGAAACATAAATACCTTTACTTTCATATCACATCAAAATAATTTCACAAATGCAAAATACACACTTACTGTAAGCTAATTAGCACAGGTAGTCGACTGTCTTCCGTAAACAAGCGCTGTAACATGGAAATATGGCAGTGAGGGGAACCCTAACCCTATAAAAAGGTGTGTATCAATTTAACCTTTTTTTTGGCTAAAATTATTTCTCGCCGATATGAAAGATAAGGTCCGTATGCTTCCAAAACCGTACCATAAGTGATGTTCAGGCCGAGTGTCACAGCTCTTCACAAAACTACCCCCTACAGAAGACACCTTAGTCCAATGACTCTTCTTATGTGTAATGCAGAAAGTATTCACACCCCTTTATCTTTTCCACATTTTGTTGTGTTACAGCCTAAATTTGAAATGTATTAAATTAAGATTTTGTGTCACTGATCTACACACAATACCCCATAATGTCAAAGTGGAATTATTTTAGTAGATTTTTTTAAATTATTAATAAGTATTCAACCCCTTTGTTATTGCAAGCCTTAATAAGTTTAGGAGTAGAAATGTGCTTAACAAATCAAATAATAAGTTGCATGGACTCATTCCGTGTTCAATAATAGTAGTTAACATGATTTTTGAATAACTATTCCATCTCTGTACCCCCCACACACAGTTATCTGTAAGGTCCCTCAATCTAGTAATGAATTTCAAGCACAGATTCAACCACAAAGACCAGCAAGGTTTTCCAATGCCTCGCAAAGAAGGACACCAATTGGTAGATGTGGACAAATAAAAAAAGCAGATGCTGAATATCCCTTTAAGCATGGTGAAGTTATTAATTAGGCTTTGGATGGTGTATCAATACACCCAGTCACTACAAAGATACAGGCGTCCTTCCTAACTCAGTTGCCGGAGCGGAAGGAAGCTGCTCAGGGATTTCACCATGAGGCCAATGGTGATTTTAAAACAGCTACAGAGTTTAATGGTTGTGATATGGGAAAACTGAGGATGGATCAACAACATTATAGTTACTCCACAATACTAACCTAAATGACAGAGTGAAAAGAAGGAAGCCTGTACAGAATAAAATATTCCAAAACATGCATCCTGTTTGCAACAAGGCACTAAAGTAATACTGCAAAAAAATGTGACAAAGAAATATACTTTTTGTCCTGAATAGAAAGTGTTATATGTTTGGGGCAAATCCAACACAACACATCACTGAGTACCAAGCTTTATATTTTCAAGCATGGTGGTAGCTGCATCATGTTATGGGTATGCTTGTCATCGGCAAGGACTAGGGAGTTTTTTTAGGATAAAAATAAACAGAATACAGCTATAAGCACAGGCAAAATCCTAGAGGAGAACCTGGTTCAGACTGCTTCCCAACAGACATTAGGAGACAAATTTATCTTTCAGCGGGACAATAACCTAAAACACAAGGCCAAATCTACACTGGAGTTGCTTACCAAGACGACATTGAATGTTCCTGAGTGGCCTAGTTATAGTTTTGAAAATCTATGGCAAGACTTGAAAATGGCTGTCTAGCAATGATAAACAATCAACTTGACAGAGCTTGAAATTGTATTTAAGAATAATGGGCACATATTATACAATCCAGGTATGCAAAGCTCTTAGAGACTTACCCAAAAAGCTGTAATCACCACCAAAGTTGCTTCTACAAATTATTGACTCAGGGGTGTGAATACTTATGTAAATGAGATATTTCTGAAGTTAATTTTCAATAAATTTACAAACATTTCTAAAAACATGTTTTCACTTTGGTATGTTGAATTCATGCTGTAACACAATAAATGTGGAATAAATCAAGGGGTATGAATACTTTCTGAAGGCACTGTATGTATATATATGGCTCAGGTGTAATGTAATGGAACTGAACTGAGAGTCATGGTCAAGAGCTAGCAATATAGATACTACAGAGTAAAGCCAACAAAATACTAGGCTGGTGGAAAAAACACAATTCTGCCTTAGCCAAAACCCTGTAGAAGTGTGTTTACTTAGACATACCTTAATTGCACAACATTATCATCACAGTACAAGTCATAATACCCATAAAACCTAGCAGTCAAACAAGGAAATGATTCCAATTGTTTTTCTACCATTCATTTAAACACTTAAATAAGGGTTTTGTTTCATGTAGGCTTACCTTGGCGTGACGTTTTGATAACCGTGTGAATCTCTAGGTTGCATACCTTTCTGGGTCAGAAATGGACTCTCTTCGCCTGAGTAGCTAACGTTAGCTAGCAAAATTAGCTAGATAGTAGATCATGTACGCTACTGTACTACTTTTGACGACTAGATATCACCCACCAAATACTGATTGTAAAGATATTAACCATGAGAGGAAAAGTTTGTTTCTCGTACAAATACTCACCAATAGAAAATAAATGTTCGCTACACCGGAAGAATTATGCGTTTCCTTAGAGGAAGAGGCGATGCGAGAGGTTTTACTCTCGTTAAAATCTGTCCACGTGAGATTAATGTTTTGTTGTTGTATGGAGGTCTATGAGAGTGTCGAATTACGTTAGGCTTTTTTGATCAAATAGAAGTTTCGTAATGTTTAGGTTGTTACAAATGTACTGATATAAGTGGATGCACGTGGCATTGCGGCAACTAGGAGAAAAGCAAGTTAGTTGTGCCTGTTGTTCACACGCATATCTGCCCTCTCATTGGCTAGAATGGTCCCATCTGATCTCGCCTGGCTTCAAATCATTGAGGACATGTATTTCCATTGTTAGAGCGGTCATTTGGCTATATTGTCAATATCACAGATAATCTTTGATCGCGGCAAAGTTGCTTCCTGTTTTAGTCACATCTTTGATCCTGTTCGTGTGGGTCAAACATAAACCCTCTGATGTTGTGCATCTTGTTAATCAAGGACGAATTGTGGTCATTGTATTAGCAAGAATATAGTTATTGTATGGCTAAAGCAACAGTTGTAAAGAGGATAGGGCATACCCTTTTATTTACTGTCCTGATTCTCCCTAGGCAGACAGGTTGACTCCCACACTAACAATGTTGCCCTAGGTCTGGGATTTCAGAGACAAATAGCCTAAATTCTTGAATCAATCCTCTTCAATAGCTTGCGTATTGTAATATGAAACTTACGACATGCAGTAATATCAAAACCAGCCAGTGCAGGCCAATGATGTCTTGCCAATAGAATACTGGGAGACTGAAATGTATGTGATATGACTCTCTTACAGTGGGGTAAAAAAGCATTTAGTCAGCCACCAATTGTGCAAGTTCTCCCACTTAAAAAGACGAGAGAGGCCTGTAATTTTCATCATAGGTACACATCAACTATGACAGACATATTGAGAGAGAAAAAATCCAGAAAATCACATTGTAGGATTTTTAATGAATTTATTTGCAAATTATGGTGGAAAATAAGTATTTGGTCACCTACAAACAAGCAAGATTTCTGGCTCTCACAGACCTGTAACTTCTTCTTTAAGAGGCTCCTCTGTCCTCCACTCGTTACCTGTATTAATGGCACCTGTTTGAACTTGTTATCAGTATAAAATACACCTGTCCACAACCTCAAACAGTCACACTCCAAACTCCACTATGGCCAAGACCAAAGAGCTGTCAAAGGACACCAGAAACAAAATTGTAGACCTGCACCAGGCTGGGAAGACTGAATCTGCAATAGGTAAGCAGCTTGGTTTGAAGAAATCAACTGTGGGAGCAATTATTAGGAAATGGAAGACATACAAGACCACTGATAATCTCCCTCGATCTGGGGCTCCATGCAAGATCTCAACCCGTGGGGTCAACATGATCACAAGCACGGTGAGCAAAAATCCCAGAACCACACGGGGGGACCTAGTGAATGACCTGCAGAGATCTGGGACCAAAGTAACAAAGCCTACCATCAGTAACACACTACGCCGCCAGGGACTCAAATCCTGCAGTGCAAGACATGTCCCCCTGCTTAAGCCAGTACATGTCCAGGCCCGTCTGAAGTTTGCTAGAGTGCAGTTGGCTGATCCAGAAGAGGATTGGGAGAATGTCATATGGTCAGATGAAACCAAAATATAACTTTTTGGTAAAAACTCAACTCGTCATGTTTGGAGGACAAAGAATGGTGAGTTGCATCCAAAGAACACCATACCTACTGTGAAGCATGGGGGTGGAAACATCATGCTTTGGGGCTGTTTTTCTGCAAAGGGACCAGGACGACTGATCCGTGTAAAGGAAAGAATGAATGGGGCCATGTATCGTGAGATTTTGAGTGAAAACCTCCTTCCATCAGCAAGGGCATTGAAGATGAAACGTGGCTGGGTCTTTCAGCATGACAATGATCCCAAACACACCGCCCGGGCAACGAAGGAGTGGCTTCGTAAGAAGCATTTCAAGGTCCTGGAGTGGCCTAGCCAGTCTCCAGATCTCAACCCCATAGAAAATCTTTGGAGGGAGTTGAAAGTCTGTGTTGCCCAGCGACAGCCCAAAACATCACTGCTCTAGAGGAGATCTGCATGGAGGAATAGGCCAAAATACCAGCAACAGTGTGTGAAAACCTTGTGAAGACTTACAGAAAACGTTTGACCTGTGTCATTGCCAACAAAGGGTATATAACAAAGTATTGAGAAACTTTTGTTATTGACCAAATACTTATTTTCCACCATAATTTGCAAATAAATTCATAAAAAATCCTACAATGTGATTTTCTGGATTATTTTTTATCATTTTGTCCCGTCATAGTTCGTGTACCCATGATGAAAATTACAGGCCTCTCATCTAAGTGGGAGAACTTGCACAATTGGTGGCCCCCCACTGAAAAAATACCCTGTAGTCGCTGGATAAGAGCGTCTGCTAATGACTAATGTAAATGTAAAATGTAAGGAATGAACTGAACTGAGAGTCATGGTCAAGAGCTAGCAAGATAGATACTACAGAGTAAAGCCAACAAAATACTAGGCTGGTGGAAAAAACACAATTCTGCCTTAGCCAAAACCCTGTAGAAGTGTGTTTACTTCGACATACCTTAATTGCACAACATTATCATCACAGTACGAGTCATAATACCCATAAAACCTAGCAGTCAAACAAGGAAATGATTCCAATTGTTTTTCTACCATTCATTTTCCCCCATAGGGGATTTTAGAAACACTTAAAATAAGGATTTTGTTTCATGTAGGCTTACCTTGGCGTGACGTTTTGATAACCGTGTGAATCTCTCTAGGACAAGGTGACTTATCAATATATCCGCCTATATTTACCCCACAAAATGAAATGTGTAGTCTTGCATGTCTACTTTGATGCTAATTAGCATTTTTGGATCTGAGAGTAAATAGAGCTGAATATATTGATAAAAGTCACCTTGTCCAAGAGTGAATTACATGGTTATCAAAACGTCATGCCAGGGTAAACCTACAATAAACACAGCCCTTATTTTAAGTGTTTCTAAAATTCCCTATGGGAAAAATGTACGGTGGAACAGCGATTTTAACCATTTCCCTGTTTGATCGCTAGGTTCTATGGGTGTAATGACACGGCCACTGTGGGGCTCTACTACAACGGTCACCTGGACATACTACTACCAAAGACAGTACAGAAACTCGGTGCTACTATCTCAAATCAGAGGTTTAACATGCAGAGGAGAGCATTTGATAACATACTGCATTTTTACGTTATCATTGGGAGGTTAGTTAAGTTAGCTAGGTTGCATACTTTTCTGGGTCAGAAATGGACTCTCTTCGCCTGAGTAGTTAACATTAGCTAGCAAAATTAGCTAGATAGTAGATAATGTACTACTTTTGACGACTAGTTATCACCCACCAAATACTGATTGTAAAGATATTAACCATGAGAGGAAAAGTTTGTTTCTCGTACAAATACTCACCAATAGAAAATAAATGTTCGCTACACCGGAAGAATTATGCGTTTCCTTAGAGAGGAAGAGGCGATGCGAGAGGTTTTACTCTCGTTAAAATCTGTCCACGTGAGATAAATGTTTTGTTGTATGGAGGTCTATAAGAGTGTCGAATTACGTTAGGCTTTTTTGATCAAATAGACATTTCGTAATGTTTAGGTTGTTACAAATGTACTGATATAAATACATTTGGTCCTCTGTAGCTCAATTGGTAGAGCATGACGCTTGTAACGCCAGTGTAGTGGGTTCGCTCCCCGGGACCACCCATACGTAAAAATGTATGCACACATTACTGTAAATCGCTTTGGATAAAAGCGTCTGCTAAATGGCTTATTATTATTATTATATTGTATGATATAAGTGGATGCACGTGGCATTGCGGCAACTAGGAGAAAAACGACTTAGTACTGCCTGTTGTGCACGAATGTATCTGCCCTCTCATTGGCTAGAATGGTCCCGCCTGTCTTCCATGAGGGAGGACATGTATTTCCATTGTTAGAGCGGTCACTTGACTATCTTGTCAACATACTAGACAAGCGTTGCTTTCCTGCACTTAATACGTCACGGTACCTGACCAATCAAACAATGGCCCCTGGATTATGTACAAAAATTTAGAGGCTGTTGATTGGTGTGGATTCTTAAATAAATATTAATTCTAGCCAAAAGTATCCGTTTTGTATCAGCAATTTTTTTTTTGTAGCTATGGCAGTTCTAACTCTAATCTTGTTAATCAAGGACGAATTGTGGTCATTGTATTAGCAAGAAGATAGTTATTGTATGGCTAAAGCAACAGTTGTAAAGAGGATAGGGCATACCCTTTTATTTACTGTCCTGATTCTCCCTAGGCAGACAGGTTGACTCCCACACTAACAATGTTGCCCTAGGTCTGGGATTTCAGAGACAAATAGCCTAAATTCTTGAATCAATTCTCTTCAATAGCTTGCATATTGTAATATGAAACGTACGACATGCAGTAATATCAAAACCAGCCAGTGCAGGCCAATGATGTCTTACCAATAGAATACTGGGAGACTGAAATGTATGTGATATGACTCTCTTATTTCAGCTCAAAGAAAAAACAACATTCACAAAAAACACCAGAACCACACAACAGGCGTGCCATCTTTCACAGACTATAGAGGCCTTTATTTCATTACCATTTATTGGCATTACCAGGTCAGAGTCGGGCACAAAACCATCTTCTGTACATCACTGTTCCCTTGCTAAATAACTACAACAAGAGTAAAAGAGTTTAGACTGTATATAAATATAAATCATCTAGTCATTCAGCAACATCTAGGCAGGTGACCGGAGAGGTGATGGGCGCGAGCAAAGGTGCGATGGCAGCGGGGGCAGGAGTATGGTCTCTCCCCAGTGTGGGTCCTCATGTGAGTTTTAAGGTGGCCGGCCATGCGGAAGCTTTTTTCACACTCCTGGCAGTGATATGGTCGTAAGTTATTGTGGATCCTCATGTGTTTGCCCAGATCCCCTGAAGAGGTATAGCATCCGTGGCAGACAGAACATTCATACGGCTTCTCTCCAGTGTGGGTGCGTATGTGTTTTGTGAGATCTCCAGATTGAGTGAAGCTTTTGCTGCACTCAGTACAGGTGTATGGTCTCTCACCTGTGTGAGTGCGCTGGTGGTTCTTCAGGTGTGCGTGTCGGAAAAATGTCTTGTCACACACTGTGCAATGGAAAGGCCTCTCCCCGGTGTGTGTGCGCTGATGGGTTTTCAACGCAGCAATGTTTATGAACTTCAGCCCACAAACCCCACAATGGTAGTTCCTTTCATTGTTGTGGATCTTGAGATGAGTTTTAAGATAACCTTTGTCAGCAAAGTCTTTACCACACACAGTACATTTGAAAGGTCTCTCCCCTGAGTGCGTGCGCAGGTGAAGCTTCAGAGAATCCCTGTATGCAAACCGCCTGTCACATTTTGGGCAGGATAAAGGCTTCTCGCCAGAGTGAACGGTCATGTGAACTCGGAGGTGCCACATCCGGGCAAAATCCTTTCCGCAGTCCTGGCATTTGAATGGCTTGACCCCAGAGTGTATCATCATGTGTTTGCAATGACTGCTGGCTTCTGAGAAGCTCTTGCCACACTCCTTGCAGACGTAAGGCTTCTCGCCGGTGTGTGTGCGCATGTGAATGCGCAGATTCTGAGGACTAGAGCAGCTTTTGCCACACTCTGAGCATGGCATGCCGATGTTCAGACAGACAGGGCCATCCTCAGGCTTAGTGTCCTCAGGCTTGTGACACTGGTGAGGCCCCAGTCCCCAGGAATTCTTGAAGCTCTTTCCACAGTCAGCGCAACTGAGGTATCCATCGGTGAAAGCAACAGACATTTTGTGCCAAACCTTGCAGTGAGTATGCAGTCTGGCTATGTACTGGAAGCTGCGGGCACAATACGGGCAGGGGTGGAGTTTCCTTAGAGGGGCAGGGGTGTGGGCCTGACGGATGTGGATGTGTAGCTGCCGTGGGGTATGGAACATGCAGCTACAGTGGGGACAGCTGTGTGTGGGGGTGTACACGGTTTTACTCGTTGAGACGTGGCTTTTGAACAAAGCTAGGTACTGCTTCTGGTGTTTGGTCTTGATGTGGTTCTCCAGGAAGTAACAGTCAGTGAAGGAGATGGTGCAGTGTGGACAAGGAAAGAACTGAGAAGAAGAGACTGAGGGAGAGGGACAGAGCAGTGAAAGGATGGTAGAAAGAGGGGAGAAGAGAGAGATGGGAGGAGAGAGAGGGAACAGAACATAGTTGTGATTTGCTACATTTCCTCATTCAACAATAAAACACTTTGCTAAATGTCAATTTCAAAGTTTGCTAAATTAATGTTCAAGTACTGTTCAAGTAATCCCATCATCCATTTCAAATGCAGTGTTGAGGGTGGACTGGATGTATGAACTATGCCCTACCTCCATCTGTCTCGTCTGGGTTTTCTTCCTTCACCAAACACACTTTAGTGTCTCGCAGAAGAGTCTTAACCACCACCTTATGGATTAGAAAGATGAAGAAACCACATTATGCATTAACCAAAAGTATAAATACTATTGTCTAGTTACTAACTGTCACATGTTTGGAAAGACCACTAACTCTTCTTACATTAGACAATCTTGTTAGCATCACCACTGGACTCCTTGATATCTGGCTACACCGGGTCATAGGATTGGATGTATTTTGATGTTTTATGTGCTTCTTCTGGAAGGAAGGATCAGAATGGCTATGTTCCTCGCCAATTCCCTGCTGTTCAAAGTCTGCTGGTTCCTCTTTGATTTGGATGGAGCTGATACAAACCCCTTTAGTGATGTAGGGTGCTTGGCTAACGTCTAGTTCTTCTCTATTGCAGTCAACATCATCTGACTGTGTTCCACACTCTGTTTTGATGGGGTCTCGATGGTGTTTAGTCCTCTTGGTTTTGTTGTGTTGCTTTTTCCCAGGTTTGCTCTTCATCTTGTTGACTAGAGTGCTTCTTCATTTGAATTCTGTGGGGAAAAGACCAGGTTTTATTGACAATCACCCTTAGAGAGCTATACCAGGCAGGGATCATACTAATAAACCATCCAACACTATAAGTAAGACCAATTATTGGGTAATTGAAGAAACCACAAGTCTGTATGAACAATCAATGTAACTGCATACGTTTCTAACAGTCAACCTACCAGTAACCCGGATACCCTAGACCCACTCCAATTCGCATACCGCCCCAACAGATTCACAGATGACACAATCTCAATCGCACTCCACACTGCCCTTTTCCCACCTAGACAAAAGGAACACCTATGTGAGAATGCTGTTCATTGACGACAGCTCAGCGTTCAACACCATAGTGCCCACAAAGCTCATTACTAAGCTAAGGACCCTGGGACTAAACACCTCCCTCTGCAACTGGATTCTGGACTTCCTGACGAGCCGCCCCCAGGTGGTCAGAGGAAAGGCCAAAAAATTGTCAAAGACTCCAGTCACCCAAGTCATAGACTGTTACGACAAGCGGTACCGAAGCGCCAAGTCTAAGACCAAAAGGCTGCTTAACAGCTTCTACCCCCAAGCCATAAGACTGCTGAACAATTAATCAAATGGCCACCCTTCCTATTTACATTGACCCCCCCCCCCCATTTGTTTTTACACTGCTGAAACCCGCTGTTTATTATCTATGCATAGTCACTTTACCCCTACCTACATGTACAAATTACATTTTAGTCATTTAGCAGACGCTCTTATCCAGAGCGACTTACAGTTAGTGAGTGCATAAATGTTTCATACTGTCAATTACCTCGACTAACCTGTACCCCCGCACATTGACTCGGTACCAGTACCCCCTGTATATAGCCTCGTTATTGTTATTTTATTGTGTTACTTTTTATTATTTGTTTTACTTTAGTTTATTTGGTAAATATTTTCTTAACTGCATTGTTGGTTAAGGGCTTGCAAGTAAGCATTTCACGGTAAGGTCTACACCGGTTGTATTCGACGCATGTGACAAATAAAGTTTGATTTGATTTGACCTACCAGTAATAATAGGCCTATAGACGGGTTGGTTGTTTAGCAACAAAACCGAAGCGTGCACAACTAGGGAAAAACAGACGGGGTTGTCTTAAATTGTTGACAACATGTAAACTATATTTCGTCTCCAATGTTTACTGAAAACATAAATACATTTGCACAATAAGAACTTGTCTCTCAAATACATCGTTACAGTTGTTTTAGACATATTAGCATAGATAACGTTGCAACAGTCAAAACACCTCAAAACAATACATGGTATCAAGAACAAGATAAAACGATCCGAAACGAGCCATTTACGATTCCCCACACGGCAGCTTCTTGTAATTGTTACTAGCTATTTGGCCATACAGAATCACAACACATGGAGTTCTGCTCCATTGAAGCCTGCGTATCGTTTTCGTGACGTTGTCAGCTAATCCTTCAATATGACATTAGCATTCATGTTGCTACCAACCCCCTCAGACATTTACATTACATTTTAGTCATTTAGCAGACGCTCTTATCCAGAGCGACTTACAGGAGCAATTAGGGTTAAGTGCCTTGCTCAAGGGCACATCGACAGATTTTTCACCTAGTCGGTTCGGGGATTAGAACCAGCGACCTTTCGGTTACTGGCACAACGCTCTTAACCACTAAGCTACCTGCTATAAGCAGAGCCTCGTTATAGGGTTATATTAAAGGCAGCAAACTCTACTTACTGTTGCAGTCAACTAGCTAGCTACTGTTTTGAGCTGCTAGTAGCCTAGTCTTTGTAAATGAGAACAACACAGCAAAGGCTAATTATTTTGTAACTCGTAAATGCTCAGTGGTAGAAGGGCAAACACTGCTTCGCTTTCCTTTGTTGACGCCATAAAACGCTGCACTTCCTGGTTTATGTCCGCAACGTTCCACCACAGATAGAACAAGGTCGTCACTAGTTACCACAGCCACAACGTCAAACGTCATTTAGCACACTCCTATACAGTAGAACAACCATAGAACAAGGAACCAGATGTTTCACCGGTTGTATAAATCTGAAGCATCCGGTTGGAATTTCCACTTCCCACCAAATAATTTATGTTGAGAAGAAGCACAGTGGCCTAGCCTGACCACTGAGGTATAATAAGAATGAGCCTGATGACTCGCACTAAATTCTTCCGCTGCTCTGTTATTCGCTACACACATTAGTCTGAGACTGCCATCATTGAAGTTGTTTGTGGTGAAGAGGGGCACGAGTATCAAAGCCAACGACATATTTTCAAACCTCTGCTTTACACATTGAGTTTTACCAAGGGAGAAAGACTGCCCCCTCTCATTGAAGCTAAAACAGCGTTAAAACCAGTAGATAGTGATAGCGCTGACGTCATCCACGTATTCCTATGGAAAACTCCCGATGGCGCATGAAGTATTTGAATTTGAAATGCGCGGCGCCATATTGCCACAGACAGAATAATGAGCCATCCGGTTTTTGGTAGCGTTTCCACTCAATTCCAAAAATGGTGATGAGAGGAAGCCCAGTGGCCAGCAGTGGCCTACATTATGCTAATGTTCTCATCGATGAAACGTTTGATCTCAATACAGTTTTCTGTTCCCAAAACTAGAATATGTTACGAACAGAGTGGACTAAGTTTTGTAGATTTTACCCTTTCCAAAGTTTAAAAAAATTGCGTTGTTTGGAAGGAGTGGAAGGGCGAATTGGGTCATTGCACACCCGCACAGAGTAGGCGTTCCCTAACAGAAATATACAAACACTTGCTAGAACGCGCCAATAGGATCTCGCTAGCTCGTGCTTGGCTCTGCCCACCTCCTTGCTTGTACTGCCCACTATGACTAATTTGTTCCCACTAGAAACGACAGGCTGTGGTCTATCTTGGGTTAGTTATAAAAATTCCCACCTTATCTTAGCTAATTGGTCACCATAGCAACACCCACCCGTAGTATGCGTTCCAGCAGGTATATCTCACTGGTCATCCCCAAAGCCAACACCTCCTTTGGTCGCCATTCCTTCCAGTTCTCTGCTGCAAATGACTGGAATGAACTGCAAAAATCTCTGAAGCTGGAGACACTTATCTCCCTCACTATCTTTAAGCATCAGTTGTCAGAACATCTTACCGATCACTGCACCTGTACACAGCCCATCTGTAATTAGCCCACCCAACTACCTCATCCCCATATTGTTATTTACATTGTTATTTATTTTGCTCATTTGCACCCCAGTATCTCTATTTGCACATCATCTTCTGCACATCTATCACTCCAGTGTTAATACTAAATTATAATTGTAATTATTTTGCACTATGCCTTACCTCCATAACTTACTACATTTGCACACACTGTATATAGATTTTCTATTGTGTTATTGACTGTACGTTTTGTTTGTTTATTCCATATGTAACTGTGTTGTTTATTTTTTTTCCGCACTGCTTTGCTTTATCTTGCCCAGGTCGCAGTTGTAAATGAGAACTTGTTCTCAACTGTCTTACCTGGTTAAATAAAGGTGAAATAAAAAATAAATAAAAATAAATAAATAATAAAAATCTTCGATATTGCTGAAGGTCAATGCTATCCTGGATCATCCCAACTCTGACTTTACCCCATTGAAGTTGAAATGTAAAATGGTTAAGGTAATGGTTAAGGAAAGGGTTAAGGTATGGGAAGGGTTGGGTTGGGGTTAAGGTTACAGTTTAGGGCAGGGAAGTCCCAAGGATTCCAGATAGAACTAACCATTGCTTAATGGTGCTGAATCAAGGGGCCAGGGTTCTGGTCTAGAAGCACCGTTTCGACTGCTCCTACAGTTCAGCTTCGGTACTGCAGTTTAACTGACGCTCGGCCCAGAAAGACAGTTTCCATACAGGGCCAAAAAATTGTGAAGTCAGATTTGAAAATAAACCACTTTAGTCATTGCCCTTGTGCACAAAACATACATAGAATTTTTCAAATAATTGTAATTGAGGCCGATCATTTTTTCATCACTCACAGCCGAAGATATTTACATTTTATATTCATCCAAAGTCTGCCATGTTTTTGGATGACGTCATCAGTGCTCCCTGTGCACACTGAGTGCTAGTGCGCATGTGATGTTGGTCCATATAAACCGGATATAGACGGTACATGAATCAGCGTATGCGAATGTGAGTAGATTACCTTGAAAACAACAGGCGGAAATCTTGGACACAGTCCCCAATTCTTATTATACCCAAATATTATAGATATACTGACAAGATACAGATCTCTCTGCCCTAACAATGGGAGTCGTTGTCCACAAATTAGCACAGCGGGCTGTCTAGCTCCCGCCAATCCTTTCTTTGGATTGGTGGATACATCTCATTATTGTAATCCTTATTCGTATATTCGATGAGGGTTGTTTACGTCAACCACCGATATTTAATGGAGAGAAATGCTACGCTACTAGCCTCATGACATGAATAGCCATCTCGAGACAACGTCGATATAAAGTGTTTTTTTCTCAAAGTTGGCAGGATGTCACGTGGCCTACTTATTTCAGTACACTTGTAAAAACTTCAGCATTACAAAACTTTTAATCGATCAACTAAATCTCACGTAGCAAATAAGCCATTCATTTTTATGTTCACCAAATTCTACACTCTCATTGACCAAATTCTACACTCTCATTGACCTCCATACAAAAACTCCTTGCTTGGTTGGTGAAACAATGAACAAACGCCACCTGCTGGAGACAGACAAGAGTGTCCGCCGAGTTGGGCCTTTCTCAATTCAATTCAATTCAATTCAATTTAAGGGCTTTATTGGCATGGGAAACGTGTGTTAACATTGCCAAAGCAAGGGAAGTAGATAGTAAACAAAAGTGAAATAAACAATAAATATTAACAGTAAACATTACACTCAGAAGTTTCAAAAGAATAAAGACATTTCAAATGTCATTATGTATATATACAGTGTTGTAACAATGTGCAAATAGCCAAAGTACAAATGGGAAAACAAACAAA